AGACTATACAATGGATACAAAAAGTCAAAAATGAAAGAAACAACACTTTTGAGTCACGAAATGAGCGAGTGTCCTTAAGATATTTACCTCGATGAAACTTGACAAAACATCTGAACAAATGTTTTTCGATCTCATACAAATGAAATTTCGGCCATTTATTGAAACAGAAGAAATAAAATAATAAATAAGAAGGAAATAATCTAGAATTATTTCGTACGAGACGAAGACAAGAGATTATATTTTGGGTTCTTAGAAAGAAATAGATTACTTGTCAGTGAAAAGTATGTCAACAAGAAATATTACATCTTTCTTGAAAATAAATTCAAAATCGTGATAGACCTGTCTAGCAGAAACAATTATAATCAGTTACTTTTTTTTTACTGTAAGATTTTTCCTAGTATGATCTTTTTTAATAACTCGCAAATACGGATGTCTTAAGAGCTTAGATTCGGTTGCTTTCCTTGTGAAATCTATAGAGAATATTTGAACAAGGTGGATTTTTCATAATAACAAATAATTTCAAGATTTATTCAGGCATACCTCCTCGAATAGTTCTTAATCAATTTTCATATTCTTGTTGCATACATTTCTGAGTTGGCAACAAACTATTTTATAATTGTTTTCCTCAAGTTTTGATTTCAAGGTCTATTTAATTGATATCAAATTACACCTTTTGTGTTGTCTATTGAACGCTAGTTTTTTTTAATATGATTTCAATGCTTCAGTTTGATTAACAACTCTTTGTGTTAGAAACAAATATCGCACACTTGATACTCATTAAGAGCAACGTGTATGGGTAAGTATGCTCTTCGTCGAAAACAAGATTATCGAAAACTCACATCGCCGACTCGACGTGGAAATTTATGATGCATTTTCACGTCGTGTCGGCGATGTTAGTTTTCGATGTTCTGGTTTTTGGCGAAGAGCATTACATTCGAAAAATTTTTATTTTAAAAAAAAAGCAAATGACACACTATTCGATGCAGGCTTTTGTTCTGATTTCAAATATATTCTTATTTTTCTTTTAAAGTATCTATGAGACAAAACTGTGTGAAAACCTTTAAAACCAAGATTTTTTTTTAAATCTGTATCCCAGTCCAGCAGCTATTTTGTGCCTTTTATTTGAACCGAGTAGATATATCAGACAAAGATAAACATTGTATGAAAGTTTCATCGATTTTAAAACTAGGTCAAAGTATACATATTGTTTTTTGAGTAAGCATAATGTTTATTACGTTCGTAGACGCTTATAATATTATACGTACTATCTACACTGAATACAGCTGTTTCGAAAACCTTTAGTTTGAGAAAGTATGCATACTTTTTCCAACAGAGCAGCTGCTGCAACAAAATATTTCATATAGAACGATGGGGCAAGGATTCTACTTTCAGAATCTATCTCATTTATTTCGTAGGTCTTTCTATTTTCTTGGGAAAAAAATACTTTTCTCTAGAATGATAAAAACTTGGCAAGTTGTTGGACCGAGAGTTTTGCTAAGCTCTTGAAGAGCTAGAATAATTTTTTCAAACCAAAATTGCATGGAACATTATTCATATCGTAAAAATGTTGCTTTCATTTTTTTCACCGAATGTCCGTATTGTTGCCCACTAACCATTGAGTGTTGAGCGTACTATGTTAAATCGTAACTAAAGTCTTCACAAATAAAACACTTGTGAATTTTGCTGAGAGATAAGCTTGTTTCTATTTTCATCCCGTAGTTGTTATTATTATATTAATATCCGACAGTTTCTAGACGAATTTTAGTCTATTTCTATGAGTAAAAGAAAGTTAAAAGAATGTGTTAACTATTTACTATTTTAGTCGAATAGGTGTTATGCTTTGCCTGTATATATCTATTAAACTAGTGTATTAAATATAGTAAGGATAGAACTGACGAGTTTTGAAATGTTTTTCAAATTTTAAATAAAATTGAGTCTTTTAAAACAAAAACTAACATCAACACGAATAGATGATAAAAAAATACGTCGTAAATGATAACATATGCCCATGTAAAAGTGATGCATGCATTATAGTATTGCATATGAGTATTCATGAGCGCGTCAATCTATCATTGGACCATTAAATTTAGATTAAAAGGTTACTTTTAATATGTGTTGCTCAATTTAATTTCGTATGTCTAAAGATTCTAATCATACTGCTTTATCTATAAAAAATATGTTCAAGTCTACTATAGTGTCAAATCACTATTGGATTGGGGTATTCACTAAATCGATAGATTTCATTGAATTATTGAACATCTTAGAATAATTTTATTTTACAGGTCTATTGAAACATACTTGACACTTATTCAGATTAATTCCCGCTAGTACTGACAATTGTTTCAAAGTTGACAATATATTGATGTGTTTTATTAGAAATATCAATTCATTTGATTCATCAATTGATTATTGATATACAACTTGTGTTCATACTAGTGCATGAAAATATCGATTCGACGCTAGGGTTTCAACACATTCATTTTATATATGACTATATATCGGCAAAATTTGTTTGGACTTATCGATTGAGTAAATATTCGAACAAAAAACAATAAAATAGTACTAGGACACTCTTGCATTACTTCTTTGTAATCACTGATATAATTTAATATCTATTAAGAAAATCAATTAGAAAAGTATATTTTACTTATATATTTGTTATATTGTAATAATTATCATAGAATTTTCAGTACCGACTGTATCTACTTATCGAAATAATAACATCTATGTAATACAGCTAAATGCTTACAATATCGCGTATTTTGTGTGTATATTTTTGTATAAAGAAATCATTCAAAACTAGATTCTTTTAAATATATAGTTCAATTATCTGTGGAAAATGGAAAAGTCAAATTCTACTAACGTGTTCTGATATTTTGTTTTTATAAATTAGAAACGTTGGGAAAATTTTAGTTCCTCCATTATATTATATGAAAAGAAAACTCTGTATTTAAGAATAATTAATCTATAGAAATCAATTTGCTTAGTTTTAGTTTCCTATCATGAAATAAATTGTAATCTGACTTACTTGAACTTGTAATTGAAAAAATCTGTGTCTTTGGTTGATATTATAAGATAAGTCTTAGGAATAAAATCACAGTGGTCATGCCAAATCGTGGCTAATGACGAAACCAATTAAGCAAATAACACTAACACTCTTGTTAAATACGACGAATAACCACGATTCGAATAAACAATACTAAAATGAGATACGAGACTAACTAACGGAAACATGGTAGTAGTAAAAAGTAATGAGGGAATAATAAACCCCATGATAATTACTTGTTTTTAATCAATACTTGGACAATTCGTCGAACTAATAAAATGAAGTAAAATCATTAAAATAATCGTAAGAATATCAAAGAATTTCTGACAGTGATCAGAAAATAGTTGTCGGTAATTGTCAAAATATCGTCCAGAGGTTGAAAGATCAATGATTCAAAAGATTGTCAAGTAATCTATAGTAATTATTACTGTGCACAATAGAAAAAGTCGGTGAATACTTTCATTTTCTATTTCAATGTGCTTCATTCGATTGTATTATGATTACAAATACACATATTCTTATCAGTTTACCTTGAAACAAACCTATACAGTATACTATCACTAAAGTAACTACGACATGGTTTTGTTTGAAACATGTCTAGGTCATATTCGCAAGTCAGTTTTGAATAGCATACTCGTTCTTTTTGTCAATAAAAGTTTGCCATCAACGATGAAAACTATCATGATATGAAACTCAAAAAATAATTCTTCTCCGAATTTTAAATTCACTTTTAATTTTACCAAGGTCTTTTGTTGTAATTAGAATATCATTCGATGTGCCATCTTTCATCGTCAGTTTGATAAAGTTTTCAAGAAGATAAAAACTAATTTTCTCAATCATTCAAAGAATATTGAGAAATCTCTTAGATAAAACAAAGGTAACCCGTTCGATGTTAAAAATAGTGAGAAAGATTGATGTCCTAACTTTCTTGACAAGAATAGTTTTAGAAAGAATTTAATTTGAATTTTTCTGAATTAAACATAGTCAATTTGCATTCTAAACTATCTCTGAGATAATATCTTTATTGTTTCAATTAAATTTTGAGACTAAACTAGAAAAATACATGTTTTTTTTTTTAAGAATACAAATATAAGAAAGGTGAAGTTAATAAAAAACACTTGTCTTTCATCAATTGCAAAATCATACTAAGAATACAACAAATATCAACAAACTGATACAATCAGTAAGTAGTCTGTTTCATTAAACAAATCGATATTATATTGATAATCAGATAAACTAGTACTAAAAAAAACTAGAAAAGAAATTATTCTTTCTAAGTGCAAGCAATTTTACTCTCTTTCAATATAATTTCAGTATTTCTTTTGTCTCAAATATAAACAATCCTGATAATATTTTTAGTCCTTTGGTTACTGACGACGTATATATACGTCATAAACTTGATCATCGTTTGAAACGAATACAATTGCTTATAATATATGTTTATTCGACTTATTTAAGTAAATGCAAACGTCAAGCAACCGAAGCTTTCTTCATAATCATTTTTCAGTAACTCATGCCAAACTCCTGTGGTAAGAAACACCAATGTACGTGATCTACAGCCATTCTGTTTTACTTTTGTTTATCTTTTCTCGATAGCCAAAGAGTTAATTAAATGCTTTCGTAAAGTTTATGAGTCATATTGAAAATACAAAGCTGAAATATACAAAAAAAACAGTTTTTTGAATGTTGTTAACTAGGAATAATCATATACGAGAGCAAAAAACACCACATAGTACGTGATGGTATGTCGATTGCAGCGGGGTAGAAACGAAAAAAAAAGTAATCCGCCTTGCACAATAAAATGACGACCCGAAACATTTTTTTTTTGCATAGGCCACTTTTGTTCTCATACTTTTTCTACACGCACATGAACTTGTTGTTTTATCAAAGCTGCTAATCCTCATTGACTTAATACAAATAATGAGTACAAAAGAAACTGATAAATGTGTTATCAATGAGAAAGGAAACATATCATCAAATTCGACGAAATGTAATTCAAAATGGTGAAATCAAGGTTATCATCATCAACAAGTCATTTGCCGCATTATTGAATCATTTTATTTTCGTTTCCTCGTTGTTTTCTTGATTATTTTTGATATATCATTACTAATTGCTGAAATAATGGTAGAATCATTTAAAATTCAAAGCATATATGAAAGTTATATTCATCATTCATTAAAACATTATTATGAAATGATCAAAGAACGTATTGAATTGTTTATGGAAATATCACATTTTACATCCATAGCAATTTTGAGTTTTTTTTATTGGTGAACTCTTATTTAGAATATATGCATCTGTCATATTGCTGTTCGTCGACTAGCCGATCTTCTTTTACATAAAACAAATTATGTTGAAAATAATAGTGAACATTTAAATTCTATACTTGAACATTTTCATATAATTGATGCACAATGTCAATCATCACTCAAGACACTTGAGCAAAATCGTGAACTAACTTCATCAAAAATGGTAGCACAATTTACTAGAGAATTAAATGAAGTTGAAAGTAAAAATGATAATATTATTAGCTCAACAATGTTTACCAAGTCATCGGAAGTTTAAACTTTAGTTTATATTTCGTTTTATTATTATTAAAACAGTGCTATAAAAAAGAAAAGATGAATCGAATAAATTGTAGGGATTTACATATTCATACACAAGACTATATTCTGCACTTTTCAACTGGCAATTTACGATCCATCATCAGCCTTACTTTTATGAATTTTGTTAGTGGGAATATAGAATATATATGTTTTAGAAATTATTAACAGTGTGTACAAGATTAAGAATCAACTATATCTGATTCAGTCGAATAGATCGGAAAAGATATGACTATTCTTTGTCTCAATGTTCTTTACTTAAAATAAGAAATCCACTTGTACAAAGTTGATCGGAAGACTCAAACAGAAAAATACTCCACACGTTCAAGAATTTCATTAATTAACAACGAAAACTCATAATTCTATATTGACTAATACTAAAATTTGACTCAATGCAAGTTCAGCCACCAGTAGAAAAGGCTATTTGTTGATTAACATTTTCTGTTATTTACGATAAGAAATTTAGCATTTCATGAAAATATCATGCGACATTATACAGAGAAGGAATATTGATTGGATTTCAGTAGATGCATATTTGCAACAGATTAAAACAAGGTACAGTTTGTTTATTTTATACAACACGTAACATTAAGTTTGCAATACTTCTTTCTTTCTGATATCGATACGATTGAACTAAATAATAATCAATATTTCAGCCACTCATTTTCGCTACTAGCCAATAGACACAATAATACTCCTCGATTATATTTAAAAGTGACAATAGCTAAGAGATTGGCACATAGTTTTCAGCTAATGTCTCAAAATTTTCTGAGACACATCATAAACAATGGTGGTAGACATCTTTTCCAAGACACACCCTAGCCTAGAGTCATAGACACAATGGAACGATATCCTAACATACCGAAAGCTAAATGAACACACTTAATATGTTTCAAATAATAATCACAATTACATATGCAATTATCATTTTTTCTTACTTAACTTGCATAATAGAATTCAAGATAGAAAGAGATGTTTGCAAAGACCCAATCAAAAAACTGATGTGTGTAATTCAGTTACCTCGTAATCATCTAATCAAGGACGGATAAGAGATAAACATTTTTTATCATAAGACTGAAGGGCAAGAAATCCAAAATGTCACAGATTTGATGTTATCGTTACCAAATAGTTTCTAATTATACTAAAGATGACAAGAACAATTTCCATCGTAAGATTTTTGTGATGATTTTTACTTTTTAATATTTTTCATAGAATATTAGTGATCATACAGCATTCAAGTTTTAACGTAATATTTTATCAAAAAATGAAAGCTGTGATTTTGTTTTTTGACATAAGTGTATAACGAATTATTTTTTTTCTGTATTATATGCGAGACTAAAAGACGTTTATTTCTTGCTATTATTATCAGATGCAATTTCTTTTAAGGACATTTAGATAAAATCTTGAAGCAATGAGTGAATCCAGAATATTTTTACATGATTCAACTCTGATCTACACGACAAAACATAATAATGTTTTAAGAAGTTTAATTGTGACAAGCTATCAAACTCTTGATAACTCATACTTTTATTAACAGTTTGCAAGGTCGCAGTGTTTTCAGTGTTAAATACTTCAAACAAACGCAACGTATCCAACGTATCCACAATTTTGAAAAAAACTTAGTATGATGATATTGCAATGTAGAAAAAGCCTTTTACTTCTTTATTGCAGCATTATTGAAAACTCATTTGTCTCTTGTTTACATATTTCAATTCCAGATGAAGTCAGGAAATTTTTTGTTCGTGCATTCTCACTCAATTTATCATTGAAAATATCGCTTATTAATGTTTTTAGATTCTCAACTTTGTGTCTCATGCATACTTTCTTCATTAGTTCTTTTCTAGAAGTATTAAGTTAGAAATTACACTCGTATCAAACTTACGTCTTGAAACTTAAAAAATTTAAAAAGTTGCATTCAAATGATGAAACAACCATAAAAATTGATATATTTCAAATTCAATGATTAAAGCCAAGGAAGTAAAAGATCAAATTTTGAAGATCGGATTTGCTTTAACTGTCAATGATTGTGAATAATTGCAAAGAGATTTATCTATCTAGCAATAATCAAATTGAGTTTTCGGTAATGTATTGATAACAAAATATGATTTTGTCAGTATTGGATTAGTAGGATCAAAAGTCATATTCCTTCACATGTCGTTAAGCTGACATCGGAAAATCATCCGACAAGTATTTCTCATCTTCAATCAAATCTTCATTGTTCGAATTATCGCCAAATATGTCTTATTCTTACTCCAAAATATTATTGTTCGAGTTCCAATCTAAATCTGAATCACTTTCACTTTGGCTTTCATAGTCAACTATTTTTTACTCTTGAAGTTGGAGACTGAAGAGTTCAGACAGTTCATCTAAGAGTAAAATTTCACCATGTTAATAAATATTTATCACGTATACCAAGCAATTAGGATTAGAATAAGCTTGTAAAATAGGTTTTTCAATAATTTCAAATGTGAATGACATAATAGAAGATAATAAAGAAATGATTTGCTCTGTGTGGACGATTTTAGACTATTGGTGATGACGTGGAAAGAAGAAATTGGCGTTAGAAACAGAACGATGTTCGCTATCGATGTTTCAATATTTAGTAGAAGGAAGATAAGATAATTTTCTGTACGTTGAATAAATTGATCAACAGTGAAGCTAACAATTAATGAAAAAGATCCTGACATGACTCGGCATGAGCGAAATTGATTTCACAAGATTGAGAGTTAAACGAACATATCTAAGGCACTATTCAGGTAATTGATGTTGTGTAACCATCAATGCGAGATACACAAGTATGCGACTATTTATCTCGATTGAAATGAAGCTAGAAGACGGATGAAGTATTTGCTAGGAACTTTTTTGTGTTTGTTTAAAGAAGATAATTGATCAAAAGTTACATCAAGTGCAACTTTCTTTTTTTTCACTCAATTAGATGTACCATCATCGAATTATAAATACACTCAGCCATACATAATATATACGACCAATAAATCTTTTGTTTCCTTATATATACAATCGAACCATATATTTTGAATTACCTACGAAGAGAAGACAAAACTCTCTAGGGTTTTTTAATAACTGTTGATAATTCGTGTCTAGAAACATTACAACAATTTTAGACCTCCAAGTTCAAAAATACCAGATGAACTGATTTTTGAGATTTACTAGTATTTCGATTAGAATTCCAAAAATTTTTGTCTATTCTACAACAGTCTTAACTCGTTGAAAAAGCATAGTTACAACAACAGTAAATAGTTTGTTTACAGATCTATTTGAATCAATTAACAGATAACTATTCATATCGTAGATATGCTCTCAACGCACATCGATACCTTGATAGAATATTTCATTTACTAATATATTATTAAACCCCTCCCGTAATAAAAGCCCTCCTGATTTTAAAAACTTTTTGAAAATTTTCGTTGATATCTTCATTGAAAAACTTTCAAAATTCGGGATCTTACTTATCAGCATAAAAATCCTGAAATTTCCTACAAAGTCGTTTGAACAACTCTTAAAATCCCTAACAATCCCTCAAGTCCTTTAAAATCTTTTATCATCAAAAACTATTGAAAAATTTTAAGACTTAATAGAAGCCCCTTCCGAAACTTTCGAATGATGAACAAATTAGAAGCCCCCGGAGGTTTCTAAACTGGGAGGGTGTTTAGCATAAAATTCAGATAATTGTTTCCGATGGTTAACTTTAGAAACCATTAATATTCGTCAACAATATATTATTATGCCATCATTAGCATTCTAACCTTTCTGAGAACGCATGAGGAATCTTCCACAATTCGTTCCAATCATCTCTTATTTTTTATAAGTTTTATTCAAATATTCCTCCAACAAAATATTCTCAAACAATATTTCTGTTGTAACCTCCCAAACAGCCATTGGATGAAAGACATATCGTAACATCATGTAATTGTCACAGAAAAGTTCGCGTTCGACTAGGAAGTAATTTAGACTAATGTAAATGTGAAAGGATATTCGATATGTAATTAAACCATATGTTCAATCGTCTTAATTTTTGTTCTTTGAAATTTCTACATAAAAGTGATTACGAAATAATTATTGGTATCTTGATAACAGATGTATAACCAAGATCATGCTGAAGTAAAAATCTAATGAATTGAAAAAAGAAAAGTCTCAACAGCTTCTCTGGCGTTCTCCCCCCTCCCTTCTCCAAGTGAACATACATCAAGGTTAATTCGAGTCGCTTTTGAATACAGCGCACAAGTGAGAGTTTTGAAAACAATTCGATTTGATAACTTCTCAAAAGATACCTAGTTCTGACAATATTCCAGCATGACATCCGACTTCACTAAATTATGAGTCATCTTTGACAATTGTTCACTCAACTGGATAAAGATGAGCGACAGCTATGAGCTGATCATCTATCGACATTGTAGATGTTGAGGATAACAATGTATTTCTTAGTTTTGTATACATATGAATGCCATTTTCGAAGAACACATTTAATTGCAGGTTTTGCATAGAGAGCCATAACCAGGACTACGAAACAAAGCAACAACATCAGTATAAGAACTATTAGGACTTTAAGTATCGAACTCACTTGAGAAATATCAACACAGAACACACGTTATTGCGCTGATGACATTATTTACTTGACATATTTACAAAAAGACCGATCAATAAAAGCATCGATCGCAAATAACATGAATGGTAATGAGTTGTGAGACCAACTAACTTTATTCGTTATTTTTACGCATTGATCAACATGTTCATCGTATGAATAATAATGTTGTTTGCTAAAAAGTGACCCCCCGTTTCGTAAGTTGTTGAAAGAAACGATAAACAATAATGACAAATCATGTTCATAAGTTGAATCATGTGAGGATAGAGGCAATACGAATTGGTAGACTTAGAAAACCATTTTTGAATGTCAGTAAACGAATCAGTCGCAAAAGTATTGACTTGCTATGAGCTGCCATCCAA